CGCATTTAGCCCCCCTCACTCTTGTACGCACTCAGCCCCCCACTACAAACACACACACACCTGTACACACACAGCCCCCCCACCCACCTCTACACACTCAGTGCCCACACATACACACACAGCTCTGGCTCCCCTGTACACAAAACAGCTCCCTCCCCTCACTTGTACACACACAGCCCCTACTTGTAAAGGAGGTCTTCCTAGTCTCAGCTAGTTTACACAAATCTGACATATCGCTGAGACACAGAGGGGCTGGAGCCGATCAGATTAAATACAGTACAAGCAGCAGACACACGAGGAGTGCACCATGCACAAAGCAGCCACAGGTGGCAGTAAAGATGTGAGCAAAAAATGACAGAGCAGCAGCAGCTTGTGACTCTTCTGTTGTGAATACATAGAGAAAGTCAGGGCAGCGACGAACCTCCCGTCTCTGCTTGGTGGCCAGGACCCTAGGGACATCCAGGCCCACCAAGGTGTGTATTAGCTGTCCCCCCCAATAGCCCTGCTTGCAATAAGTGAAAGTAAAGATAACAGCCAAACAGCATTTTGCTGACAGTAATAGCTACACCCCTTAGTACAATTCTGCTCACATAGGCTTGTATTGAAGGGGGGAGAGTGTCCAAACAAGACTGGGAAAACGGGAGTCGTTAGTACAAAGTATAACTGCATATCTATTTCTCTGAATTTAAAGCACAACTTCATCCTAAAAGGGAGGTTCCGCTTCAACACCTCTTTCCCCCCTGCTCTCCCAATTTCGGAGGTTTGTTATTTTGGGATAGGGAAGCAGGTGCCTAGGTTTAAGAGGTACCCACTCCCACTTTTGCTCCAACCCCATAAGCGATCCGAGCAGAAGCCCCCCCCCCCAACTTCTGGGACATGTCCCAGGAGACAGCAGGTCTATTCAAGAAATGCAGCATGATTCACATATGCTCAATGGGAAGCCAGCTGTGAAGCCGCAAGAAGTCACAGCTGCCTTACCCTATTAAACATGCTGAGGACCCAAAGACCTGCGAAGAACTGGCCCAGGTAAGTATGGCACTGGATCCTCGGACAGGTAAGTGTCTTTTTTTTTTTTTGTTTCTTTAAGTCAGCAGCTACAGTATTTGCTGACTTTTCATTTTTATGTGAAGACTGAAGATCCTCTAACTTTTGCCACTGAAGTAGGCCATATTCAAATATTTTATTTTCATGCACAATGTAAACAGCGCCACCAGTTTGTGAAGCACTTTACCAAATAAAGTCAGTACAGCTTGCAATCCAAATCAAGAAAAGAATGTTAGGAGGGCCCTGCTCATGAGAGCTTAAGATGGCCATACACTAGTAGAATTTTGTTGAAAAAAAATTTTTTTTCTCAGATATTCTCTTATTTAAATTTTTTAAAAAGTGACAAAAAAAAGAAGGTTCACAATTGCACCTTGATACACAATATCTCAAAAATCTAAAGATACAATTATTCCATATTATACAAGAACGTTTTTACTTATCACCACTACACCTTAGGAAATAGAAAAAAAAAAATATACTGTATATAACTGGTGAGTCTCTTCGATTCTGGGGTTTTAAAGAAATAAATATCAATTACCATTATAAAAAGTATACTTTATACAGTGATAAATATTAGTTGCTTGAGGGGATTAATTGCAAAGCTGTACTATTTTTTTTTTTTAACCTCACCAATGCCCACTCGCCCCCCCACCAAAGGAACCAGGGAAAAAAAATTTTTTATAGGATGTCATATTTCACCGCGTTGTTGCCTACACAAACGTATTTCAGAGACCAGGAAGTATCTGGTATCTCGTTGATAAAGGGAAATTAATCCATTGTGACCATGTTTATGGAAATGAGCTTATGTCTATTGAGTAATGCCGTAAGTTCCGCGATTCGCATTATTTTACTGCTTTGATCCACTTACCTACAGTGGGAGGGGATGAAGATTTCCAATGTGCTGGCACAAAAGCCCTAGCCATGTTAAGACGTCTCGCCACAAAATATATTTACTTTTAGAGAAAGGACTAAGGTGTAATAAACAAGCTGCTGGGTTCTGGTCAAGGGAAAGTCCAGCAAGGTCCCTGATCAAAATACAGACATTTTGCCAATAAGGACATGTTCGAGAGCATGCAACAATATAAGACGAAATATAAGATTCCGGGGGTACAATCAATTCGGCATAGAGAGCTAGACCTAGCCCTAGAGAGACCCCATCTAATGATTTGATAATTGCTCAAAAAGCAGTAGGCATATCAAACGGCATTGAGCCAAATGATAACAACAAAAGGTAATGTTTGTAGTTAGGTCGTCAGCCATACCAGAAGGGATGGTCAAAGCATTGATTGAATATTGGTTATAGATTTCCAGCCTCTCAGATCCTTAAAATCTTGTAGTCTAAACTTGTTCATTTTGATAAACTGACAAAATTTAGGGTCAGAAATCCCTGGTGAAAAATCTGGGTTTCCAATCACTGGCATCAAGATTGATGATGATGAAGAGTTTATCACCCTTGGTTTAATCCCATTTTACATGTAGTACTCAGAATAGGATGGGTCTTCACCTGGATAAGACATTTTTTATTTTATTTTTTTACAAATGATTTTTTATTAAAGGATAGACAACAATAACAAATTAACCTCTTGAGAATCAAAGTGCCTCAAGAAAAAGGTACATAAGTAAGTAACAGTAGAGTAAGATACAGGCATAAGAAGAGATGCAAACACGTACATGAACAAGGCAGTCAGTAAGAAATACAGAACAACCAAGCTGTTTACAAAAGTTCAAAGCATGTCAAATTATAATAGACCATCAATCAGATAATAATTGCCGATGTGGTTTCCAACCATCCTATTTTCTGTTGAACAAGTGGATCCTATCAAGCAGTGAATAGTGAATATGTTTCATGAGCATAACCATGTCAACTCTCTGCAGAACAGAGGCTACAGGAACCGTCGGTAACTTCCAATAAAGGGCAATGGCCCATAAAGATGAGACACAAATCGTGTGGATTAGCCTCATCTCGACGACAGAAACACCCGAAAAGGGAGCATACAATAAGCAAATTTGCAAAGACATAATTATCGGAGTGTCCGCCAAGGCAGAGGACACCACTGAGATTCTATTCCATATCAAGGAGAGACTAGGACAAGCCCAGAACACATGTACAAGGGTACCAGCGAGGCTGCATCCCCTAAAACAGAGGTGCGACGTCCCTGGAAACATGACATGTAGTCTAGAGGGGGTATAATAACCACAAGTTAAATCTTTAAGGGCCGTCTCACAGACCGAGAGAGATCTAGAGCCTCTCCGTATATTATCCATCATGGAATCCCAGTCCTCATCGGAGAAAGTAATACCGCAATCTACCTCCCATTTCTGTCTATACAAGGGGGGAGTAGGGAAGGTGGCATCCAAAAATGAGCAATATAAATCTGAGATGAGACCCCTACATCTGGAAGAGTCACGGCTGATATGTTCAAAAAAAGTGATCAGGGACGAAGGCGTCAAACCGAAGTGAGAATTAAAAAAGTGTCTTATCTGTCGATATTGGTAGTGTTCGCAAAGCGGGATATCAAAAAGACTACGTAACGTATCGAAGGAGATATAAGTTCCACCTCTCTGAAAATCAGATAACCTAATTAAGGCTCAATCGTACCACCAGCGAAAGGTTTGCAGAAACAAAAACCTTGTGATGAAATTCGGGTCACCGAAAAAACGACGAACCGGGTGAAGCAGGGGAGAGAAGGCACATTTTAGTTTTATAGCAGGACCAGTGATTCAATGAGTGACCAACAATCGAATTACAAGTCAACAACGAGCGTGGGGGAATGTTTTTCCACAATAGACCTGGTAAATAAAACGGGCGTATTGATTGAGATTCAATCTGACCCAAGGCACATGGGAATTAATAGACGACCATTGAGCAAGTTGAGAAAATCGGGCTGCTAAGAAATACAGCCAAAAATTAGGGAGGCCTAGGCCCCCTGCTCGTTGTGACATATAGAGCACAGACGATGTAAAACGTGGATGCCGATTTAGCCAAATGAAGTTGTTTATAACACTGGTGTCAACGCCTATGATAGTGAGCTCTAGAGATCCACAGCTTGGGGTTTCCCAGGGCGTGGAATCTAAGCCCCAGCCTGCTTGTTCACCAGGGCCCCTAATGGTGGCGATGGACTTGCAGCAGGCTGGGACCAGGTCGCGGCCCCCAGGTACACCCAGCTGAGGTGGGGGAGACTGCTAGCGGGATCAGGGTGCAAGGGAGAAGATACAGGGAATCCAATGGGCAAGCCGAAGTCAGGACAGGCGGAAAACTAGCAAGGTCAGGAACGAAGCCGGGGTCGGTACACAGATAGACAATACAGGATTCACAGCAGGAACGCACGGAAGCACCAACACGAAGTTGCTCAGGCAAAGTGGGACAGACTGAGCATGTCTTAAATAGACAAGCCAGCTGGGAGGAGGCCCAGGAAGTGATGAAAGGGAAGGACATAAAAACCAGGGAATTGCAGACGATGCCCACAGGTGAGCACAGACAAACACACATGTGAAGGAATCAAGAGCAGCAAGGAGGGAAGAATAAACTCACAAGAGGCTGCAAGCTAACTTGTGACAGTTGGACACGGTCCAAGAATGTCTTAGAGATCGATATGGGAAGTGCTTGAAATAAATAAAGAAGTTTGGGTAAAATATTCATTTTTACGGCCATGGCCCTACCCAAAAATGAGATGGAATAAATCAATGTTCATTTTTAACTAATTTTCAACAAAATTTGTTTCAAACAAACAAACTTAGTTTTCATTCGGGAAAGTCCATTCATTACAAAATCAAATGTAAAAAGCAAACAAAATTTTTTTTAACTGCTTTTGAACAACATTCATTAAGTGATCAAATGCACTGAGAATTTTCATACAAGGAGAGGCAAGTGATAGGAGGTACAACAAGTAGTAGCTGTGAGGGCGAGTTGATTGAGAGAGTAAAAGTATAGTTTCTAGGTGGAGGCAGGATAGGCTTCTCTGAAGAGAAGAGTTGTCAGGTATTGCCTAAAGGGATATTCAATATCACATTGCATGTAATACATTTTGAAAGCATTTCAAGTAAAATCAGTTTTCCTTACCAGCTCATCTTTCACAGGATGCTCCTTAGGATTAACTCCCTGAGTGACCAGGTACACTAGAATTGAACAAACAAGAAAAGGTTTACTTGTGATTGCTATAAAATTTTGCCTTTAGAATCCACATTTTGGCCCTACTTACCCCAGAACAGGGAGTTCAAGGTGTATGCAGATGCCAAATCTAATTTTGCTTGTTCTTCTGGATCTAGCTGTAAAAAAAAAAAAAAAAGATAAATAAACACAAACAGTTATGTTAGTGAAATCGATATTCATGAAAACCTCACAGTAACAGCGCTATTAAAAGGTGCTTAGGTGGCTTTGCTCTGCAGCTCATGAAACCAGTTATTGGAATAACACAAGCATTTATTTATAAATGTTGTGACTGCTTGCACCTAAATCGGATGGTTTGCTAAGGCCTTAGGCTGTTACTATAACATCCCGCAGGCCAGATGTGGTTGAATGCTGTATGTCAACACTGGAAAGACAGGAAATGAGCTGAGCACAAACCCGAGAGCTGGAACACACAGTCCACTTGAAGACGTGTGTGAGCCAGAGAGACTTTACTGGCCCTGTGAGTGAATAAAGTCTGTGGGCTGCTGAAGAGAGCTTGCCTGGCACAGGGTGGAGTATGTATGCACAACCAAGTATGTGAGACATTTGTGTAAAAATAGATGAAAGCCAGAGCATTACGGCACACCGATCGCCTACACCGCTGAGGTAGCCATATGGGCTGCGCCAATATTCATGCCTCAGCAATGTCACTAGCTTCCAGTAAAATGCTGTTTAATTTACCTTCTGGCTACAGAACTCCTGCCCACACTGCGTGGAGGCCAGTAAGACCTTAAAAGACGTGCACGGCTTTATGTAAAAGAAAGTTGGGGCCTAAATGAGGTCTCACAACTTTGTGTCTCTTTATAATCCTTTTTTCTTTCAAGTTATGATTTGTGACTGATTTTTTTACTTGCAAGTACTTTAGCATACCTTTTACAATCAGTGAAAATGCGACTTCCTACATTCCCCTCCAGTGAGGAAGAGGCAAGTCCTTGAAACGCGTCAGCCTATTGGATGTCTACACTCCCTATTGCGGACTGTTACTCAGCGCGGTGTTGACCCAGCTGTTCTTTGTGATGTGCCTTGACTACATTGTCGTTTGTGAGTACAACACCTACTTGATTTTTTATTAAACATTTTTTATGGTAATGCGCTAGGCCTGTGCGTCCTCTGTTTTTTCTTTACTCATTCAGTATATTTGGATTCCCCCGGTCTATTTGAGGGCAGCAAGGTGTGCATGTTCCAGGACATTCTTAATGTGGTTGTATCCTGCATCGAGTCCATCCCCAAGCGCAGGAGCATTTGTGTTTGCTGGTTCTTTATTCCCCTCCAGTGCTCTGTGTTGGCAGAGCTGAGTAACAGCCATACCTCTCAGTAGAAGTTTCCTTACACAGACATGCATTGCAGTAAAGAGGAAAGCGATGGGATTGGGGGGAGTGTGCCCAACTCAGATGTCTATCAGGACAACACAGTTCTACTTGGACACCCTACACAGTATGGAAAAATAGAGGTTAAGGCTGCCATACATGGCTCTCCCCCAGTCAGCACCACCCAGCTCAACAAAAGGCGATTGTTAATCTCCAAATCCATCCACGTTTTATCCTGTGTTGAGCCCTGATGAAGAGGGAGTGAGTGATGCTGCCCGAAATGCGTTGGAGGCATTTGTATTACTTCTTTTATCAACAATTATTACAAATTATAATTTTTTTCTGATTTTGGTCTGGTGCTTCTTTCCCTGGAAACACGTCATGCACGCCCCCTCTCCCAACATCAACCAGACATTTTGACAGCTATCATCTTTGTGCGCAGCTGAGGGCGCCGCCGCTACTATCCATATCTTGAGCTGGCTGGCTCCCTGTCATACCCGGTCTCTATTTGCTCAGAGATGCCTACAGCCTCCATGGGTCACAGGTGCTTGGTTTCAGATGATCCCTATCTATGCTGTTTCATGCCAACTTTAATGTAAGTGTGTTGCTTATTTTAATAAAGTGATTTTTATCTGATACTGACCTCAGCACCCTGCTGTTCGTTTTCTTCTGCAGATCTGTTTCTGGGACTTCCATTGGGCTTCAGCTGTTACAGGGATGTTCAATTCCTATCGCCCGACGCCCGGGACATGCAGTTCCAGGCGCCGGGCAGGTATTTTTTTTTTTTGCCTGTAGCCCTGCTGTGGGCAAGCAGCAGGGGTCACCTGTCAAATTACTCGCTGCAACCTCGTCTTTTATATTTTACAAAAAAATAGGATAATTTATTGCTTTTTGTGCCCTAAACTTAACAAGTGTATTTTTTACTGAAATGTTGTGTTTCCTAGACCTTTTTGATAATATTGTGTGGCATAAAAAATTGGAACTACCGCTATTTTATTCTCTAGGATCTCTTATTTCAGAAAATATACAATGTTGGGGGGGTTTGTGTCATCTTCGGGCCTAAAATGCTTTTTTAAACGTATGCAAATAACGTTTGCACAGAGCGAAAGGGATAAAGGATAAACTGGACACTCCCCTTTCCTGACGAGCAGCCAATCGGTGCCCAATACACTGCAAGGTCTCTCCCTTTGCTGCTAGTCCCCGGGTTCGGTGCTGGAGACAGGCAGGGAGGGGAGGAGGAGATAAACAGCGCAATGTTAAAAATAATAAAATGTTTAAAGTCGCTATCAAGCTCCTTTTGTTTTTAAAAGCCCAAGACATTACTTAAAGCAGATTTAAATACAGTTTTGGTTAAAATTTATGTTTTTTTATTATGACAAGTAGATTGTCATGAGGGACAAGTAGTTTGGGACACCGATTTAGTCCCCGGAAAAGTAGTTTTTTCAAAAGTTTCCATACTGCTGTGTTATACTACTTGTTTCTGAATAAGACATTTCCAGGTAGCAGCACAACTTAAAGGACTGATGTTCAGGCAGATAGGACCAGTTACTGGCTCTGGCTGTACATTGATCTGCACCCTTGAACCAACACTCCATGTACACAGGAAATACTCATTTTTATATTATGATACTGGCATTTTTTAAACCACTTGCCCTCTAGAGGTTTCCCTTCCTGACCAGGCCATTTTTTTTGCATTACGGTGCTGCGTTACTTTAACTGACAATTGCGCAGTCATGCAAAGCTGCACCATAACAAAATTTCCACCCTTTTTTCCCCCACGAATAGAGCTTTCTTTTGATGGTATTTGATTGCCTGTGCATTTTGGGTTTTTTTGCCCTATAAAAATAACCGTCTGACAATTTTGAGAAAAAAAAAAAAAAAAAAAACAATATTTTGGACTTTTACTATTAAACATGTCCAGTAAACCTAAACAAAATGTATTCTGCTACATGTCTTTGCTAATAGAAAAAAAAATCCCAATACGGGATCTTTTTTGTACTAGTAATGGCGGCGATCAGCGACTCCTAGTGGGACTGCGGCAGCATTCTGACACTTGGGGGAAATGACTTGGTGTCACCGACATCCCCAGTGACACCAATATAGTAATCAGTGCTAATAAAAAGCACTGACACTACTAATGGCAATGGGCAGAAAGGGGTTAACATGTGGGGTGATCAAAGGGTTAACTGTGTGCTGTTTTACTGTAAGCTGTGTGTGTGTCCTTCACCATAAGCATACTGCTTTACATGACTCTGTTATGCAAAGCAGTTTGCAGGAGCTGACAGTTGGAGAGAACTGTATTGTTTACCCTAGTTCTCTACCTCCGTCGGTAATGCGCCTCAATCACCGGATGCCAGTGAGTAATCACTGACCGGGACCCAGCGATTGACAACCGAGGCCCCGAAAAGCGGCGCGGGTAGGGTGCGCGCCTCTACCCGGAAATGCAAAATCACATATATACGCGATTTTGCGCACCCGTCGCCCTGTAGCAGTACATCTGCTATAGGGCAGCGGGAAAGCGGTTAACTTTTAAAGAACATATAGAAACAAATATGAGAAAATGTTTATATAAACTTCACCTGCATAAAAGAATTAGCTAAAAGTTATCACTGCCCTGTACTAGCTGTGCCGTCGCATTGGACAGTTTAAGTTTAGGGTGCACTCAAGTGACAGATATTGGCCTCTCACATACTTGCGTGCATTTGATGAGTAAGCAGGACCACTAAAAATGTCACACACCCAGTGTGTCATAGACATAAATGCAGAGTTAATTTATTACTATTCCTGTAATCCTGTAATTCCATCAATCAGGAATTAAATAAAGCATTTTTTCCCCTATTTTTCAAATATGGCAAGTTTTAAATTTGCATTTTTATTTTCAAGCTTTTACTTCAATTTGTAAATGAATATTAGCAGTGCCATCTAGCATCTATATAAATAAAATAATATCAGACACAGAAGATCCAGCGGTTTGCAGATACTTGGCAAAAATATCACTGTATACTTCCAAAGTACATTACTGCCACCATCAGGCTTAAATCTGGAATGGGAATAATCATAGTTCTATAAAAACATGACACAAAAACAAGGTTGTCCTTTGCCACAAAACACCTCCATGGCTCCACTTACTATGCACAATCCTCAAATACCATTTATCTTTCACCGCCAGCTACACATAATAAGATTAAAGTACAGCTAAACAGTCACAATACATCTTTACCCGCCTAAGGATTTAAGATGTTGTCCAGCCCTCTTGTGCTGCAAAAGACCACGGTTTGGAGCGTGGAGGGGTGCTGACAGGGCCACTCACAGCTCAAATTGTGGATGATCTACCAAGAATTGGCTGCAATTCAAGCTTCGTATGGCCACTTTTTTAGTTCTTTATTAGTAATGAAGCCAGCAATTTGAAGTAGAACACCCACTTCATCTCTATTATAAAAGTACTGATTTAATTTGAGGAGAGAAACCTGCTGTATTCCTTACTCACATTAACGTGTGGTCTCTATTCAATGGGATGAGCTTTGCAGTGGAAAAAGTGCTGAGTACAACACAGATACTAATACATTTCCAGGATATCCCACTACTATCCACTACCACCAGAGGGAGGGAGCCCTGTATCCAGTTTGTGCACCCATCCAGCCTTAAGGGGACCTCTGGACCTGGCAGTTTCTATTGCATACTACCAAGACAGGATTACCTACCTTTAGATGGATGCTCACCTTCTCCGCCTTCCTAAGTGATCTGAGTGGATACTGATTACATGCGCATGATTTTAGAGCGTCCGGTGAGTG